ATATAAAATAATATACTCTACGCATGACCCGCAAATATACAGTGTGTGATTGGGTGTTCATAGCGTCGCATTAATGTTCCATGTTCAGAATCTGCCCAACGCCTTGCTCCTGGTGGCCTAAGAGGTCAAACACGCAAAATACGGCACTATGGCATTTGAATATCTGCAGTGCCAGTTACGTCTCGCATCATTATGTTCTCTAGAACCACATCGCGCTCATCACTAACAATGTTTCAAGGACTGTTATTCCTTAAATGGCAGTTCGAGGGGATGAAATGACTATAATGCTCAAGTACCATGGAGCCGTAACCCGCATAAATGACTCCCTATGCTACTATGAGCAAGAGCGAACGCAATGCGGTCTGATGTGCGAAACCTGGTCACTGATGAATTTTGCGCAATTTAATCTATTCCGTCGTACAAGCATAATTTCAAGTTAATGAATACATCAATAATATTCTTGACATTCTTACTGTTGTCCGATTCTTCTTGGTAATTAAGCAAAATCGTCATTGCCTTGTCTCGATTCCCACGCTCGTCTATCTCATGGGATTTGTCACCACAAGCGTCCATATCACTTGTTTTGCTAATCTTCAGATCTAAGCCAAGGTCTTTTATTTGGGCGTTTGCTGACCATTGGTCATCCGTAATTCAGCGATATGACCTTCTCTTCCTTTCTTTCGGAACTGACGCTATGTCCTGCTTTCCTGTACATCTTGTTACTTATTCATTCGCAGCTTCTCCCTTATGAAAAATCATAGTATCTTTCTTTCCATTGCCCGCTGCTACACTCTTAGCAGTTCTTCATCGTTTTTCATTGATCTTCAGGTCTTGTAATCATACTAAACCGTGGCATGATCGGACTTTCATACAATGTGGTTTTAATCGCAATAAGTGATTTTCTTCTTTAAGTATGTCAACGCTTTTTCCATGCACGTTTGGTCCACGCTTTCCGATGCCTACCGTAAAACGCTGGACAAAAGGAGTGGTCTGAGACGATTGACTTTTTCACGTAGACGTACCTGGCGACATATTCTTCTGGGTAATCATTTGTGTGATTTTGTTTCTCATCATTTTTGTCCTCGCGCTGTCCACGTAAGTCCAATCTGCTCACTCCTTGACTTTGGCTAGCATACCATGGCTTCAAATAACCAACAGCAAGAGGTAGTCGGTAAATCGAGGATGAGTGAGTCGTCTTCCATCGATTGAAAATCCCTAATGCCATTTTATTCTACGGAATACTAACTCAAAATATTAAGAAAACAGCTTGTGCGATGAGGTGTTTCTTTGACAAACCTCGATCTCAATCTGATCTTTAAGCTGCTCAATGAATAGTCGAGCTGCAGCTTGAGTATGCTTCTTGTAGAATTCTAACTGATTCCTCTATTGTTTGTTTTTCAAACGCAGGCAAATCTGCATCATGCTCCACCATGTTACATTCTTGCTATGATATCAGTTTCATGGTATATTACAATCCACGGTACATAAGTTCTAAAATCCGTAATCTGGAACTTTCGAATCAATCACTCATTCTGATGTCTCGCGTGTCGTTGCGTTCATGGCCATTCTTATATTTTAATTTAATCGCATGATAGCCGAAAATACCAAAAGCTCGCTTTCCACCAATGAATCGCATTTTGTGGCTCTCGTTTTCCATCTGAAGCACTATGAATCTGTAAGGAATGGCTACCGTCCCCTGACGTTCTCAAGGCCAGCTCAAATGGACACCGCTGAAGATACTTCAAATACAGCATATATCTTGCATCGTTGTTTCTTCAGAAGTAACCAAATAGTCTGTTACCATTGTTTGGTAAACGAACTGTGGTTCAGGATATCTTCGTCGGTGTTTCGAACATGGCGCTGTTCGATCCGACCTACCGTTGAGCTTAGCATCCTCACGGTGCAGGTGCTGCGCTGCCATTTAGCTTGGCATAGCTGAATCTTCGTCAAACTCGCTAATCGTTCCAACATCGCCAACCTCTCTTGCCTCGCCCTAAGGCGCATCAACTCATGTCGTGTGTAGTCGGTACTGTAGTTGACGTCCTCCGCATGCGGCGCCGCTTCAGGCACAAAAAACCTCTTGTTTTCGTGAATCGCAAAATGCGAGTCATCGAACGTTCGTCTTGTCAGCTCCCGGTCGGTCCGAAAAATCAAACAGGGCGCCCGGACAAGCTTCGGTGGATTGTCACCGGCGACTAATGACCAAAAATCATTAAGTGTGTACGGGAATACGCTGCTCTTTGGAGTCACTAGTCACTTCCGCCACAGCAGATCCGCAGCTTCCCTTAGCGACGAGTCGATTTCTGCCATGGCACTCGCCAGAACCTCATTAGCGGACGCAATTAACTGTCGCAAACGCGACTGACAAACAAAGAAGTTGCCTCTTGCCACAGTGACACCGACCGGCGCCAATGGTGCTTACTCGAATTATGTTAATGAGATGGTTTCGGTAACAGTACGGACGACAGTAGGGGCAGTTGGCGACATGCATGATTGACGCCGTGACGTCGTCGTTGGTCAGCGAAACCACAGCTTTGCTTTTCCCACACTCCATTTAAGAGTTCGTCTAACTCCAAGTTTAAAATCGTCCAGAGTTGGTCATCTGTTTGGACATATTATTACGCCTGACGTCCATAGGCGTGTCCCTTAATTCCAGCTTCTGCTGAGGTTAGGGTCTGGGAGTGGTGAGGAGCGCTCCGAAACGTCTGAACCTCTTCGGCTAGACGGATATTGAATAATTAATCGATATCGACAATAGTCAACGATGGCTGGCACCCAAAATGGACCGCTGGCCAGCGAAGCTCAAGAAGGAATCAAA